ATTCCCTGGTATAGCTTAGAAACAAATGCAGTCACTGATTGTAACTTAGGTGTCTTTGGAAACATCACCTCAAAATAAAGTGGAGTCAGAAAGAAGATTTAGGGGATATAACTTCTTACTTTTACTTCCTCTTTGATCTTTACCCTTTCTGCCAATGGCTCTGCCAAGTTTGGGGTTGGAGGAAGCTCTTGTCAGGAGTCAAGGAAATGCTTGCTGACTTACATCAGGGAAACAACTCCATCAGTAGTTCATCTCAATAGAGGGTTAGTAGAACTTTAGTGCTAGAGCTTGAAATGTAGTGGGTAAGTATGACCCAGGGTGTTCACGGAGAGAAGCTGGCTTGGGGTGAAGCAACTCTTCACTGTGCCTGAGACACAACTGCAGGTACAAGAATAAATAGGTGTGTAAAAATAAATCAACACTAATGTCTAGACTAAAAAATATTGAAAAGAAATCTAGTCTTGCTCTTGCCAGCATGGCTCCATTGGTTGGAGTGTTGTTCCGTACACCAAAATGTTGGGGAGCCTGGTCAGGGCACACATCTAGGTGGCGGGCTCAAGGCCTGGTCGGGCTGCATATGAAAGGCAACTGATTGATGTTTCTCTCTCACATTGATGTTCCTCTCTTTCTGCCTCTCTCTCCCTTTTTCTCTCTCTAAAATCAATGAATATATCTTTTTAATTAAAAAAAATCAAGTCTCATGCAATGCTGTGGCTGGAGTCTTAGAATCTGGATAATGAAAATAGCAACAGTATCCTCCATATACAGTATCACTGTATTAGTCATGGTTCTCCAAAGAAACAGGATCAATAAGATAAATATAAAGGTATAGATATAGACATAGATCCATGGATATATATTTGTGGTGTCTTCTTATGAGGAATTGGCTCATATGACTGTGGAGGCTGAGGAGTCCCATGAGCTGCCATCTGCAAGCTGGAGACGCAGGGAGACCAGTGCTGAATAATCTTGTCTGAGTCCCAAGGTCTGAGCCAGTGGGGCTAGTTGTGTAAGCCTCAGTCCATGGGCGGAAAGAGGTGAAATGAGCCTCAGCTCAACAGTGAGGCAGGAAAAAAAAACAACCCAAAATGTGGTAAATTCCTCCTTCCTCCACCTTTTGTTTTATTCAAGACCTCAGTAGATTGGATGATGCCCACGCATGTTGAGAAGAGCAATTTACTTTATTGAGTCTGCCGGTTTGAATGCTAATCTCATCCAGAAACACCCTCCTGGACATACCCAGACTCAATGTTTAATCTCAGCACCCTCTGGCCAGTCAAGTGGACACACAATATTAACCATCACCATCACAATCTTGAAAAGTGTCACCTAAGTGAGAATTTTTCTTCCTTTTATTTTTTAGTTCAGCACCTTGAAATGTTTACCTGTGGTCTCCTTCACTTGAGTGTATGTGGTGAGTTTTACAAAGTACTCATCAAACATGTCTTTATTATCTTCGAATTTGGCTTTGATTTATAAACATTTTCATTTAAACATCCTGCTGAGGATATTTTTCAAGGGGACTGCAAGTCGCACTTGGAAGGAAGGATGTGAAGGGTAGATCCCCACCTTCTCACTTGCAGTCTGTGCACAGGGTGTCCATCCCTGCTCTTCTCTGCTTCCAAAATTATCCCAAGATCCTCTGGTCCTGTTCTCTGTAGGATAAAAGACACATTTACAGTGAATGTCCCTTGTGGTCACTTTCTGTGATCTCTGCTCCTGAGGAAGTGGATCCAGATGGGTTGGAGCCACTCCAGCCTTCTCTCTCCAGCCTTTGTGTTTCCTTGCCTCTGTCCCTGCGTAGAGACCCCGGGGACCAGGAAACCCCTGCCAGTCCCTTCCTCATTCTTACAGGTGACAGAGGTAGCTAGATGTCTACCCATAGCCACTTCCCCATCTTCTTCACTAATAAATCTTTGTTTTACAGCAAATGTCAATGTGTTCGGTTCAGTATTTATGGTCAGTTACCTTTTCCAGCCTCCCAGGTAGAAAAGGGTGGGTAAGTGGCAAAGTTGTGGCTGACAAGATGGAAACAGAAGTTGTTGACTGGGATACCTACAAAACTCCACAAAAGGGGAGACCGCTAACCTGGAAGGCCCCTCCGTACTTTCCCCTTCCCTCTTCTTGCTTATGTATGTTCACTGCAATCACACAACAACGCTACATATGGCACAAGGGTGTACCTACTCAAGAGCACATCTCAGCCACATCAGAGTGAGATGCCTGTGCAGGGCAGGCGATGGGAACGTGTGGCTGGTGTGGATGGGGGAAGCACGTTTTAAAAAAGAGAAGGGCTTTGCACAGAGCATTGATGAGAATGTGTCTGGATAGGTGCTTGTTTAAAAACCTCAACTCTGCACCTGGTGTCTTGAAGAAAGGGGGAGGGAGGAGGAAGACAAAGGAAAGCCAGTGCAAAATTATTGTCAATAACCCAATGAAACTCAGCAGTATAACACATGGAAAAATTCATCTGGCATCAACTGACTCAGGAAACCATGACAACTCTCCTAGCCTTAAATCTTTCTGATCTTGCCAGAGTCTGACTTCACTCCTGGGAGTTCTCAAATGTACTGTGGTTCACCAGTCAGTTCTCCGTGGATGCCTAGGGCAAATTCTCTGCTTCCAGTACCTTTCCCAGCACATGTGAGCAAGAACTCTGGGCGCTCCTGCTGAAAGGCAGCAGGCCGCTGGCCAGCCCTTATATCTCAAGTCTAAACACTGGATTCCCTTTCCAGATTCTCTGTCCTGGGCTTGGCCCTCTCTCAGCTTCTGGGCTTGGTCAGTCTTTACACAGCTGTCTCTTTTAGAACTCAACAGACCTAACTTCCTGTTCAGGTTCTGTTCTCCCTATGGGGAGATTGCTGGCTGCCTTCTTCCTCTAAACAGAGGTGCGTAGCATTAAATGTTAAGCAAACCTCTGTGGTGTGAAAGAGGGTTTTGATTGAAGAGGCTTGTAATGAAAGCCTAAAGAGGAGGGTGGAAAGCTGGGGCATTGGTAACCCCCCTGCCTCCTGGCATTCATACCCTCATGCAGTGCCCTCTCCTTGATTCTCTATGGCTCTGTGACTTGCTTTAACCAGCAGAATAAAGCAGAAGTGATGCTGGGCCAGTTTGGGGCCTAGGACTTAGGAAGGCCTGGAAGCTTCTGTTTTCGCACTCTCCACTCCAGGGGAAGCCAGTCGCCATGCAGGGAGGAAGCCCGTGGGAAGACTAGGGTGGATATATCCAACACGAATAACCAAGACAAAGAGCTACTCTACTGCATTATATTTAAGATTGGAGACGGAAAGATTTAGGCAGGAAGGTAGTGCTTCTCCACACAAGGGAAAGAGAGAGATCTTTTTGACAGACGATCCTCCAGACCGTGCTCAAGAGTATGTGCGCTACCACAGAGCTTCGTGTGAGTAGTAACTGTATCTCACTGTACGTCTCCTCCTCCACTTCCCTCTGAATTTGTTTAGCTTCTCTTATTTTTGTGGCTGCACTGTCCACCTGGCTCTTCCCTTCATCTCTGTGTATTGAAATCCCACTTCTTCCAAACTGTTGTAAAGCAGAGCCACTTTATAAAGTTTCCCTTGAAGGCCCCGGCCTGAGGGCTGTTCCCTGTCTCTGAACCCCATTCCCAGACCAAGTCTAGAATGAAGCATGGATTTGGCCATCAGCCATCTCGTAGCATGATTTTTCTTATTGTGTTGAATGATATGTAAATGTATTTTGATTTAACTTTATAGTGGTTTATTTCTTATTCCCTGAATCAGATTGTCACTTAAGTACAGGAACACATGTGCATCCCCTCAACAGAAAGTTAGTAAACATGGTTAATTTCTACTTTACTTTCCAGTAATCTCCAATCCAAGGGGCCCAAAAGTTGTACTTCCTTTTTTATGAAGCCTAAAATAGTGCATTTGCAACATGTACTTAAAATTTTTTTGAAATATAATTGGCTTATAACCGTATTTGTTTTATAATGTTTTTTTAAAACTTCTGTTTAAGACTGAGGGGATTCCTGTGAAGTGGGACCTTTGGTTTTAAACCTGGGACAGTCTCATGCCCTGCATGTGCTGGCCACCCTGCCTCTACGGGTTCTTGCCACATCTAATGCACTTGGTGCCCCACCCAGGGCTTCAGCTGCAGAAACTGCGGAAGAGTTGCCCAATCTTATTTTCACATAAATTGTTCCTGCACCCTATAAAGTTAAGCAGGTGGTATTCTATGAGTTTCGCTATCATTTAAATTTGATAGGAAGGCCTTTGAAAGCCATTTATGGTAGTTATATACATTAGCATCCTGGAGGTTGATTTCATAGTAGAGCCATAAAAAGGAAGGATGAAAGCTTGTTGGATTTTCTCCAGCGTGGTTCTGCAGTGGGAGGCTGTATGTGGCAAGCACATGCCACCCCGCCTCCGAGAATTTACCATGCTGCAGAGAAAGTCCAGCTCTCCAATACCTATTTTATAGCATTCATTACAATTTATTGCAATTTGCTTTCTCTGCGTATCACTCTTTCCCTTCCAGTACTGTGAGCTTCTCAAAAACAAAAACTGGGGCCCTGGCTGGTGTAGCTCAGTGGATTGAGCACGGGCCTGTGAAGCAAAGGGTCGCTGGTTCGATTTCCAGTCAGGGCACATGCCTGGGTTGCAGGCCAGGTCCCCAGTAGGAGACACATGAGAGGCAACCACACATTGATGTTTCTCTCCCACTTTTTCTCCTTCCATTCCCCTCTCTCTAAAAATAAATAAATAAGATTAAAAATTTTTAAAAGATACAAAAAAAACAAGGACTGAAGTATTTACATGACAATATTTATAAAGCACATATGACGTGTCAGACAGTGTTCTGTCACACATGCTGTCTCTCACGGGACTGAAGGCCAAGGTCACCAAGCCCAGCTGCCCCTAGAACACTGCAGCAGAGGGACAATCTCAAACCCTGATGCTCAGACCAGCTGGCTCCACTAGAAGGTCCTTTTTGTATCTAGTTAATCCTTTCTTTAAGGGTCACAGTCCATAAGTCCAATTTCTACGTGTCTGATCTGCGACTCAAGACTGGGTTCCACTTCTTTATCACAGAGTTTGTGGAATTTAGGTGAGCAAAGGGTATGTTTGGATATCTGTGTTGGTCAGTGTCCCTGAATGTGGCAGAAATTGTTGATAAGCTCTAAGAATATTCTAACAATCAGGGACTGACCTCTCTGAACCACACAGGGACCTTGAAGAGGATGGTGTTGCCTGACCTCATGTGCCAGGCTCAACGGACCCGACCCAAATGATCTTACAGACGTGTCTGTTCATCCATCTCTCTGTCCAGTCGGCCATCTGCTCACCCACCTGAAACACACATGGGAATGTGCATATCCAGGTATTTTAAATCCTTACTGGAACAAAGCAGAATATAGATATATTTTTAAGTACACATATGTATAAATATGTCTGAATATTTAAAAAAACACAAATACTATAAAATATGACTCACAAAAATATGATTTTTGTATAGTAAAAGATACAACTCTCAATTGCTAAGGAGTCGATGAATTCTTAGTTAGGTGAAGATAATGGAAATATTTCTGCCCTGGTTTCAGATGGACAACACACCCTCGCATTTTCTGTCGGCTCAATCTGTATTTTTTGCTAATACTCTTCAGTGCTCCATCAATTTTTTTTAGAAGGAACAATTACAGACTTATGCTTACCACTGAAAATTTTGACTCTCTGCAATAGGTCAAGTATTGACTTGGCCTCCTCAGGCCAAGAACAGAACTGACGATGCCCTCACAGCCTTTACTACTGCTGCCATTATTTAGTATTAGGAGCTTTGTTCACTTCCAAGGTGCTTTCTGTACTATGCCAACTACAGCTGCCACTCTCTTAGAATAACTTCCATCTTTCTGTATAATTTTTACTCTGCTTTTATAGTATGGGTCATGTCAACTGACTTTTGTTTAGCAAGAGGACAATTCTAGAGAGTTCTCTAAACAACACCAAGAACCTGGATAGTCTCCCCCAGTGTGCAGGAAAGAAACACTGATGTCATAATTATTTTCTGGGTGATGCTATCAAACCCCTCTTGTCTGTAGCTGCTCAAGACTTTCCATTAACAATTTCAAGTCCATTATGTGTGGGCCTCCCTTGGCTCAGAAATAGGAAAATATCTGTATACAAGGCTTGATGAATGAGCTATTTGGAGATGGGTAGTACCCATTTAGAGAGGTTTCAGAGAGGTCTGAAACTATTCCACTATTATAAAGTAAATGTTCCTAAAAGTATCATTTTGTGATCAGCCACCCTAATTTCTTATTTATGCCATTAAAATAGGGTTGACAAGGAGGCTGAGCTGAAAATGTGATGTAGAACAAGCTTGACCTTAATAGCCCCTCTCCTTGTGCCCATACCATCCAGTTTTCCTGGTTTGTAGAACCCTGACCAAGGGGATATCATCATCACCTCATTCAAATTATATGGCCTAGATCAGGATGCCAAATACCGACTCATGCGCCCACTTGGATCAGCCTGTATAGGCTGCCGGCCTCACAAGGTCACTGATTTCAGACTGTTCCCTAAACCACAAAATAGAGACACAGCTGTGCCCAACTTACACACAGATCATTTTTGGTAGACAGTCCAAAGAAAGGCCATCATGAGTTGAATCCTGATTTCCTATGAGCACAATGCTGTTTCAATACTTCAATGTTACAAAAATTATAACACTGATCACAAAAAGTAGAACAAAAAATTCCAAATACATTTACAAGTGTTAAGTATGTAAAAATAATCCAACTCTAAAAACAATGTAGCAAAGGCTCCCATAGAGAGATTTTTCTACCTGGTTGTGCCTTGTTGCAGTTTATCAAAATATATGGTTTATGAAGACAACTTTTCCTAATAAATCACCTTCTGGCTAACAGAGCACTTTTTTTTCACTCCTCCAATGAAGACTAACACACCACAGTGAAAATTAGGGCTATCTGTCTCACAAATATTAGTTGTTGATTTCATGTGCAGGGAAACCTCTGAAAGTCCTTCAGTGGTAAATTCTGCTCCAGTGCCACCTTGTGTCTCCTTCTCAGAAAGGAATTCACTGCTGAGCTGGGTAACCGAGATGCTGCAACTTCCATTCTGCCCACATCAGGACCTTTAACCAGCACAGCCTGGTCCACGTTGCCAGGCCAGTGCAATGCCCTTGGCACTTGGTCCCAGTCATTCATGCCTTTATCATATTAGCTTTGGTCTCCATGGTGGAGTCTTATTTTCAGTGATAATGGTTATGAAATTGGGGGTCAAATTTTTGGTTTCTGAGGTAGAACAACTAACTGTGCTTTTGACACTTAATGTGAGCTCTAATTTGAATTCAAAATATCAAACATAATATATCCTAAAAATAAGATGTGAAAGAAAATACAAAGTGAGGGGCAGAAGTCAAAGTACTATTTCAAGTCATGGATAAAAAGTATACATGAGAGTGCTTTATAAAAGTATTAAACGACTTTTTAAACTCTAAATAGCCAAGCTAATATTGGATATCATGCATTATCTGAAGTAATGTATATATTGACAAGGGTAGACGTTTTAGGAGGAAAGGCAATGGACCAGAGGGGAAGTGGGAGGCAGAAAAGCTAGAGGTGGCAAGTTGGAAGCTTCCTCCTGAACGCGCCCTCTACAGAGAAGCGGCCTCAGGCTAGTCGCTGGTCCCTGCATCAGAGCTGTTTGCTCAGGCCAGCAAAGCTTGAACCCTCCTTCTCTGGCAGCTTTTCAAATTCCGGCTTTTCCAACCACCATCCGAGTGTTTTCCTATAACCCCCACTCCAGAGGGTAAACTTGTTTCTATTTCTTCGTTTCCCATATTTTTGCCGAGGTCCTTGACTCCACATTAACTGCAGCAGAACCATTCACTCAGTTTTATGCATAGAAATGGTGTCTTCAACACATAAAAGCATAAGAGCCTTTATTTAAGAAGCAGTTTGCAAGTGAAATGGGACCTTCCTAGGTTCGCGACGGTGCCAAGGAGTTAGAGACACATCACTCTGCCTGTTTGCGGCCGAGCAGCTGGAGCTGCGGCAGACCAAGTTCCCAAGAAGCCACTGCCCCCTTGCGTCTCAGCGGCCGCAGAATTACTCCACTGCAGGGAAGAACTTCTGGCAACAAGTCTGTGAAAGATTATCGGCGGGCTATTTCTGGCTCTTAGATTTGTTGGTTCAAATAAGACTTCCTTTCATCTTATGGCTTTTTAAAGTAGAACTTTTCTTCCCACCGATTTCTAAAAAGGCCTATTTTAATTGTCAAAAATGTATAGTCCTTGAAGAAAAATGTGTATACAATTATTTAATTTTGTTAATGTCTTGATAGATTTCCTCCCTATTTTTTCTCCATATAAGGAAAACTAATTTTACTTGGGGTCAGAAAAAAAAAGCCACAAGAACTATGAAATCTAATTTTATCATAAATGTCATGTAAACATGATCTCCACAATAGAAAAATTAACTTTTGAATTTTTGAGAGTACTAAGACAGAGTTGCCTTTTGCTCTTAAGAAGTATAAAGCATAAAGGGTAACAGTTTAGAGCATAGAACCTCATAAAATTCGCCTGTATTTCAATTCTGTGGATTAAGAATACTGTAGTGAATGCAACTGTTAGACACATTAAATTCAATATCTCATTTTCAAGACAGAGAAATAAAACTTCTTGCTCTAAAGACGGCCTGGGGGAGTCAGGAACCTGGGCAGTCTAACTGATACACTTGTACCTTGACCTGGGTGGGTCAGTAGGTTAGGCGACATCCTGCAAAGTGGTAGGTCACCAGTCTGATTCCTGGTTCAGGGTATGTTCCACTCCCTCTTTTTCTCCCCCCCCTTCCTCTCTCAAAAAATAAATAAATAAAATATTTAAACAGTGTACTTATTGTCAACTGCTTTCAAATGTGATTAGTCCTATTTCTAAGTATTGTGTAAATATGTTGATCCCCTGCCCCAAACGATGGAGAATATAAAAACAAAGATCTGGGTATTGTAGGAGGAGCTGAGAATGAGTCATATCTTTCTTCAAGTTCTTTTTCTTCTGTATCTTGTGTGTTGTCTGCATCATCTACATGTGTATTTAATACAATATAGATAAGAATGTGTGGTGTCACAGAGGGTCTATAGACAAAGGCCTCAATGGACTGGAAGGAAGTTTCACGTAGTATCAGCTGCTTTATCTGATTTGGGTTTTTTTGGGGGGGAAAACTCGTGACTAAAAGGGTATTTCTGTGAAGGCCTGGATCTGATCCTGACTGGGGGTTTGGGGAGCAACAGATGAAAGGAGTTCTCAATTTTTGATCCTCAAAATCACCTTAATTCTACATGAAAAAAATTCCATAGACCACCTACTACTGAATATCACTTTTTAAAAATGGATATGGACATTTTACCATTTTCAACACAGAAAAATAAAACTTCCTACTGTAAAGATGACCTATGGGGGTGAAATAATTTGGTCATTTAAATGATTGAGTTATTAGCAATTGGAAATGGCCATTATTATATATGCATTCAAAATAATGCTGTATAAACTTAAACAACTGGACCCCACAAAAATCTATTGAATATTCAGCTGTTAATTATAATACCTTAAAATCTCTGATCATCATCATTACACATTTCTGTTTGTTAACGTAATTACAGTCTGTTGCCCTATTTTTGTGCTGTATTTTATTAACCCATTTTTATTCTTCAAAATATATAAGATCCAAATCTCTGTTGTAATAGAAAATGTACATTCTATATATTCCATGGGATTTTTCTTTTAGACCAGTCTATGCAGGTGGCCTGAAGGATCCAAAGAGATCTATGTCACTAGCCTGTTATAAATGTAGTACCAGAGAGTGCTCTGTTCCAGGGCATGTGAGGGCAGAGAAGAAGATGGGCCCCCCCTTTCTCAACAGGCAGCTCAGCAGAGCCTAGGATGCGGAAAGCCTGCCAGGGCCACAGACACACACCTGTGTCAGGTTTACAGCTGTAATTGTTCCAAGGGGTGGCTTCTCTCACCATCTCAGCTGAGCAGGAACTGTTAGAAAGAACGCCTCCTGCTGCAAAGAGATTCAGCAGCTGTTCCTTCCATATACCCACTCAAGCTCTCTACCATCTTCGCCTGTTTCTGAAGGGGCATGAAAGGAATTACAAAGCTGAAAGCTAAAGCCAAGCCAGTGATTAGTGGTAATTATCATCTTGATTGTTGCCAATCAGACCCAGAGAGACAATGTCATTTTGGGTAAGTCTCCACCCGGTCGTTCCTTCCTCACTGAGCTCATTCATCTGTAGAATGATGTTGGACCAGTTATACCCAAGTCTGTCTCAATTCAATCACTAGGAGTCTGCATGTGTGTTATCACTGGGCGCACACGCAGAAAGGGTGCCTGGTCTAGCCAAGATTTTTAAAAAAACTAATGTGTCAAAATAATTTCATACCTTAAAAAAACAGTCAAAACATAGTGCTTCCATAAAAGCAGATGGGCAAGACTTCCATTTTTTATGTTTATATACTTCTGTGTGTTTTTTAATTTTCTTCAAAGCATATCCTACTTTATAGAACTTTTAGGCCAAAAATAACTACAGGAACCTGGAACCAATACAAAATAGTATTGAAAGTAAACTGTCATTGAAAAATGAAAACTTAAAAAGTAACTACAGAACATTAATTTGACACATTTATGTTATCCAACTTCTCACTCCGTTGCTTCTATTCCTTATAAGAGCAGAGGACTGGGAATTCGGAGACCCAGGCTTCTAGTCCAGGCTGCTTCAAATGTGTAATATAACCTTGTGCAAGTTGCTTTGCTTCTGTGGGCCTCAGTTTCTTGCTAAGAAGGGTGCTTGAAATCATAGTAGCTACCATCTCTGTGGTTTCTATGTCTCAAGCACGGTGCTAAGGGGTGTCCTGGCAATGGCTCCATAAGTTGAGCATTATCCCCATTTTCCAAACAAGAAAACTCCCCCCAAAGCCACATTCTTTCCACTGCACACTCTCCCAGACACCTCTTAAGCCATGTCTCATGGTTTCCTGGTGCTATACACAATACAACACACTTAAAGCCCGGACTTGACTAAAAAACCCTCTACCTGGAACGCAATATTATTCTAAATTATTCTCAGGTCACATTTATTCTTTATGTTGTATCAGATTCTAAAACAGGGTGTCTCCACGTTCACACTGCTGACATTTTGAAAGAATTCTTCGGAGCTGTCCTGTGCACTGCAGGATGTTCGGCGGCAGTGGTGGCCTCTAACCACTAGATGTCAGCAGCACCCACCCTCCAGGTGTGACACCTCAAGCGCCTCCAAACACTCTGTCAAATGTCCCCTGGGGGAAAAGTCACCCTGGGGTTAAGAACCACTGTTCTAAAAGGAAAAAGCCAAATGCCTGCATTAACCTGGAAGGAAAACTGTGTTGAAACAAGCTATTGAATCTAGTGAATATTCTCCTTGAATAATTCTTTGACATGACCAGCTCGGGCTAAAGTCAGCTCCATCTATTTCACAGGTATTTGCCATGTGCGAATAACTGTGCTAGTTACATATTACTATCCACGATTCAGGAAAATGGTGAATTGGCATAAACCTTGGCTCTCATCAGTGACTCCACTTCTCCCACAGGGAAATTCACCTCTGCCTGATAGGCAAAGAGCCCCCCAGAGGCTGCCGAGTGAGAATGGATAGTCACCAGAGAACAGGTGAATACATGCTGATTTTATTCCAGCTAAACAAAGCAATGCACAAATCATCTGAGCAACAAGCTTAGCTCAAGAAATAAGAAATTTTTTTGTTTCGTTTTGTTTTTTTGCTTTAATTATCAGTTCCTGCACATGGCTGTCTTCCACACCTCCTCTCGGAAAATGTAGGTTAACAAATCTCATGCAAAGAAACACAAGAAAAGAGGAAAAGGGGAAATGAAAGTCGTCTAGTGTGCAGATGAAGGTGGTTTCTCCAACTTCTGTAAACTGCTCCATCAGCATGGTCCATCTCGGATTATTTTAATATTACGGCCATCTTCCCTGCAAATCCGACAACCATAAAAACACATTTATCACCTACCATACTGACACTGTCCCAGTATTACTGAAAAGACCCATGCCATTGTACATTACGTTCCTTCTTGGGTGATGTTTGCGTAACCAATTTTGAAGCTAAATGAAGAAAATAACGAGGGTGACAGCTCTGACTCTACCATTTTTCTCTCTAACCATAGGGCACGAGCACTGACCCCAGAAGAATCCCTCTGAGAAGACCTAGGTAGCTCTCCGAAGATGGACGTCAGAGAATGGGCCCCTGAAATACATACTTGGGGGACAAGGCACAGTCACTTGGCAGGTGTGTTATACGAAGGGCATCGGGTGTAACACATTTACCGCTTAGCATGCTCTGGGTAGAGTTATTCAGATCTGTTTCCCAACTACTGTATTCTGCTGTGAATAATGCACACCCATGTTTTAGTGCTGCCCATGTATAATTCACCTCCTTGTCTCGCCCTCAAAAATTTGGGCAAGAAAGTGCGCATTACACGTGGCAAAATACGTAATGTCGCAGGGTATGCAAGTCACCGGCATGTGCCCTCTGAATTTCAAAGAACATTTAATATTCCACAGAGTTTAACAATTAAATACATTCTTAACTTTGGAAAGTCACCCATCCGTGGAAAGTAACAGAACTTGATTATCTGGTCTACAGCTGCACATGCCCTTCTCCAACTTCAACCTGGAAAATGCACTGCAGGAGTCCGTGTATTTTTGAACATCAGTCTGAAAACAGAACTACTTATGTCATGTGTGAATCTTATATCCAAGAAAAGAGCTACTAACTACTTCTTAAGGAATCCAAATTCAAGGAAGACTAAAGAAAACATGGCTATTTTGTCCTGGCTGGTGTGGCTCAGTGGACTGAGTGCCAGCCTGTGAACCAAAGGGTCGCTGGTTTGATTCCCAGTCAGGGCACATGCCTGGGTTGCAGGCCAAGTTCCCAGTGGGGGCTGTGAGAGACGCAACCACACATTGATGTTTCTCTCCCTCTCTTTCTCCTCCCCTTCCCCTCTCTCTAAAAAATAAATAAATTAAAATCTTAAAAAAAAAAGAAAATGCGGCTATTCTACACTGTAAAAATGTTACCTGATTTTCATGCACAGAGTGCACTCGTTGGGATAAGTGGACATGTCGCTTCCACATACAGGGTTGAAGTCTCTGGGACATCCTGGCAATCTATATTGATAACAGTTTGGCTAGAAAAGAAAACGGAAGACAAAAATTAGAGAACAACTTGAAACATTCTCATCACAAAATAGCGGAGGGCAGACAAATTCCCAAGTGTCCTTAGATCTCCTAGAAACGTGCCAGAAAATATTTATTTTTCCAAACACACACACACACACACACACACACACACACACACACACACACACGAATGGCTTTTTATTGCAGAACAGGCGCATTGGTTCAATACCTACTATGTGATAAAAGGTTCCCTGAGGAAGGTTCGTTCTGCTGATTTTCTAACCAAAGCCCAGGGCATGCCACCATTTGTACTTCCTCCCATCTCTACTCAGGAACCTAATTTTTCAGTCTGGACTTTTTAAGATACCAGCATTTAACCACCAGCACTAAAGAAAGCAGCAGGTTTGGAACTGGGCCTTAGTGGTTGCTATGGATTTGTTTCTGCCCCAAAAGATACATTAACATCTTAACCCCCAGTACCTAGAATGTGACCTTATTTGGAAATAGGGTCTTTATGCAGTAATCAAGTTCAAGTGGAGGTTACAGAGTGGGCCCCAAACCAATATGACTGATGTCTTCACAAAAAAAGGAAAATTTGGACACAAAGTGACCCACTGAGGGAAGGATCATGTGAAGACAGAACACCATTTTTACAAGCAAAGGGACGCCAGAGGCCACCAGAAGCTAGGAGAGGGGCATGGAACCGATTCTCCTGCACGGCCCTTAGAAGGAACCAACCCTGCTAACACCTTGATTTTGGACTTCTAGCCTCCAGAACAGTGAGGCAATTGATTTCTGTTGCCAAATCTCCCCAGTCTGTGGTATTCTATTACAGCGGCCCGAAGAAACTGATATGGTGTCATAGAACTGAAGCATCTGATTTGATGGAATTGAGGCAAAAAAGGTAACATGTCTTGCTCTTAGCCACTATTGTCCAGCAAGGCCTGGACTAGAACAGGTCACAGAGTGTGCAGAGTGCCACTTTAACAAAGGGTTAAATACATGGCCTGCTGTGTTTCTGTTTTATAGTCATGCATTTACATGTACATTTGGCCCTTGAACAATGCAGGAGGGTTAGGAGCACAAACCCCTAACACAGTCAAAAATCCACTTGTAACTGCTGACTCCCCTCAAACTTCAGGCATTTGTTTGTCTTAGTAAATGGTGATCACTTTTCTTTACTTCAGAGTAAATGGAGTCAGCCATTTCGACACCCTGAATAAATGAAATACACCTTTTCATTGATATTTTCTGGATTTAAAAAGACCTAAGCAGGGCTGGCCATGAGCCAAACTCTGAAGTCAAAGAGGTTCAGTCGGCCCTTTCCATCCCCTCTGTTCTGCACTTCATGCCTCATTCAGGGGCACGCTGTGCTCTTGCTGCACCAGGCTCCCAGAGACGATGCCCTGGGCTGCTCACCCTCTTTTCCAGTGACTGGGACAAGGGGTGGTTAGTCATTTATGAAAAAAGTAAATTAAAGCAAGGAAAGAATAAAAAATACAGACTCTAAACATTTTATCCTAAAACATAAGTGGAAACAAAAATGCCAATCTTCTGAGGTAAGGGAATGAATACCGATGCATTTGGTCATCTGTCCTGCTAGGTATGACCATGTGATGAAGATGAATCCAACAGGATATATGTGGAATTGTTGTGCAGGAGTTTCTGGGAACCTCATTTAAAATCAAACAAACAAAAACAAAAAACCCATTGCCTGTCTTTCACTCCCCTCAATTTGTGTTCTTCTTCGTCCATCCTGCTGCTAGGCGCATGGAGGACCAGATGGGCACCGCTGCTCACGGTTATTTTGAGCCTTTGTTATTTGCAGCTGAATCTAATCTGAACTAATACAGGAGATAAGACCTTTCCTTTGAATGTTTCAACTAATTAGAGTTCTGTGTGTTATCACTGCAAAACTTGTAAATGAATCGCCTAGGAATTCCTGTCTCGATTTCTTTAAAATAGGATTTCTCAACCCTGATTCACATGTGGGAACCAGGTGAGTTTTCTTTGTCTTGTAGAATGTTTGGTCGTGTCCTTGTTCTCTGTTTCCTAGTCAAAAATGGCTGTTGGAATGGCCCCCGGGGGCCAAACCACCCCAGTTGGAAACCACTGTTTTACAACACAGTGAGATTTAAAGGCAATTGCAAAACAATGTAATATACCATTAAAAATTATTTTATTTTTTAAAAAATATATTTTATTAATTATGCCATTACAATTGTTCTATTTCTCCCTTCGTTCCCCTCCACCCTGCACACCCCCTCCCCCACCATTCCCCCCTTTAGTTTATGACCACGTGTCTCAAGTTCTTTAGATTCTATATTTCCCATACTATTCTTGCTCTCCCCCTATCTATTTTCTACCTACCATCTATGCTACTTATTTTATATACCTTCTCCCCCCTTCTCCTTCTCCCACTCCCCTGTTGCTAACCCTCCATGTGACCTTCATTTCTATGGTTCTGCTCCTGATCTAACTGATCTAGTTGTCCTCTTAGTTTGTTTTTGTTTTAGGTGTGGTTGTTAATTACTGTGAGTTTGCTGTCCTTCGCTGTTCATCTTTTTTATCTTCTTTTTCTTAGGTAAGACCCTTTAACATTTCATATAATAAGGGCTTGGTGATGATGAACTCCTTGAATTTGATCTTATCTGAGAAGCACTTTATCTGCCCTTCCATTCTAAATGAAAGCTTTGCTGGATAGAGCAATCTTGGTTGTAGGTATTAGGGTTTCATGACTTGGAATACTTCTTTCCAGCCTCTTCTTGCCTGGAAGGTCTCTTTTGAGAAATCAGCTGACAGTCTGATGGGAACTCCTTTGTAGGCGACTGTCCCCTTATCTCTTGCTGCTTCTAGGATTCTCTCCTTCATTTGAATCTTGGCTAATGTAATGATGATGTGCCTTGGTGTGTTCCTTCTTGGGTCCAACTTCTTTGGGACTCTCTGAGCTTCCTGGATTTCCTGGAAGTCTATTTCCTTTGCCAGATTGAGGAAGTTCTCCTCTATTATTTGTTCAAATAAGTTTTCCACTCGTGGCTGTTCCTCTTCCCCTTCTGGTAGCCCTATAATTCAGATGTTGGAATGTTTAAAGATGTCCTGGAGGTTCCTAAGCCTCTCCTCATTTTTTTGAATTCTTGTTTCTTTATCCTTTTCTGTTTGGTCATTTTTTTCCTCCTTCTGGTCCACTCCTTTGATTTGAGTCCCAGTTTCCTTTCCATTACTATTGGTTTCCTGTATATTTCCCTTCATTTCAATTAGCTTAGCCTTCATATGTTCCTCTAATTTGTGACTAAAATCAACCAGTTCTGTGAGCATCCTGATCACCAGTGTTTTGAACTGTGCATCTGAAAGTTTGGCTATTTCTTCATTGCTTAGATTTATCAGCTCTGGGGCTCTGAGTTGCTCTTGAGCCATGTTTTGATCTGTTTGTGCCTGTTACATATGAGAGGCACCTTAGATGTTCACCAGGGTAGGGCCACCCAGGTCGCTGGTATGTGACGCTGTATGTGGGGGTGGGGTCAGAGAGGGACAATGGCAGTTCCCTCTGCTGTTTCCCGCCCCTGGGGCCTGTGCAGTCCGTCTCACCATTCGCTCCTTCACAGGTTTATCTGCTCGAGAATGTGTGACCACAATCAGTCCTCAGTGGGCCCAACGCCTTGTACCCTCAGTGGGTCCGCCCACTTCTCTACACCTGGGATCCGCCTACGGCTGCTGGCGCACCTGGGTCGAGCACTCAGGTCGGTCAGGTGGATCTTTCCTGCCTGACCCCACTCTGCTGCTGGCTCTGCCCCTCTTACCGGTTTGGCTGAAGGGTTTATTGTTGTCAGACTTTCATGTAGTTCAGTTTTCTGTGGTTTGGCTGCATTTTTGTTGCTAAAACTTTGTTGTTTTTAAACTTAGTTGTATGAGAAGGCACAGTGCTGCCACCTATGCCTCCATCTTGGTGGAAGTCACTCAATTAAAAAAAAAATTTATAGTTGTTTTACCTTCACTTAATTCAACAGCAATTCTTCTTTTTTTATTTAGCAAGTTGTCTTTTAGCAAGTGTTTTAAAAGCATTCAACACAGTTCTCACATGGGCTACAACTTTCCTTCTTTACACTCATGTTTATGTTGTCTTTATGTGTTTAATCAAAATAAGTCTGGTGGCTGGCCTAACAGGCTTCTGATCACACATGTGTGAGTCTTGGTGCTGCAGCAGCTCCACGGACGGCATATGAGAGAGCGGTCCATCTACAGCCATGCAGTGATGCGTGTGCTGTGGGATTTTCTCGGGGAGAAAGGAGGGGCTCATTTGCTTGTGAGATACTAACGTGGAGGGTGGTTGACTGATTTTTTTACTGCTAACAAGTAGCACATGGTGGACCAACACAGGGCTTGATGGGCATGTCCCAGTGGAAGCTTGTTAAAACTACAGATTTGGGGCCTCCCCCAGAACCTACTCAATCAGAGAATCTCCAGGGTTGAAATCTGTGTATGTGGAGTCCTCTGAATTCTGAGTCAGCGAGGACTGGGTTTGGGAACTGCTGCTCCCTCCCAGCTTGGCATTCAGTCCACTCTGACTGCTTGGTGAACACTAAGGAAAATGCACGAAGACACTGAACTTGATGCACGATTTCAGAGAACCCTCTGCTCTACACCTCTGCTGCCTCCCCTTTATAATCAAGACATATCCTGCCTGCGTCCCAGTCTCTCAGAGATGACGAGGTAAACGACTAGCTGCTCAAAATCAATCTATGCCTGAGAGTGTTGGGTATTTTTATTTTCAACAGGAGTTTTCAAATGCTTTCATCTCAGAGAATGACTCATACATGACTTTTGAAGAGCTGAGGTAAAGAATTTTTTCTTTTAAGCAGAAGACTTTTGACATCCTTCAGATCTTTGGGGAACCTGCTTGGCTGGAAGGAAGTGATGGTGTTACAGTCTGTTTCCAGCCCGTCTGATTCTCCTGATTTCAAAGCTCAGTTTGGCTACTTACCAGGTGACTTTACGACATTCAGATTACTCACTTGCTGGATTTCCTCTGATCTGAGACATAAGGCTGTATGAAGAAAGACTTTTCAACCTTATCGATGTGGTCACAGAATTCTGTTAATAAATTACTCCCCCCACAAACCCTTAATTTTACCCATTTCCCCAAATTTATGCCAAAGGAAAAAATTTGGAATCTGAATTATACCCAAGATGCCAACTCTAGGGAGTCGCACCTGGCAGACTCTTCCTCAGACCTTCAGGAGACTCTCTCAGGAAGAAGAAAGGAGTGTAAGCTCTGAGAAAGCAGAGAAAGGCTCAGAGAAGCAGAGAAAGGTAGGCTGCGGTAAGGACGTGAAACGTTCTCCGTGGGCACCGGGCAGTCTCTAGGCTCTGCACAGGGACGTGCTCTACTCAGAGTAAAGATTTTGAAGAGTAATTGCAGTAGCAATGTGTGGCAGGAGCTGGAAAGTGGAGATGCTAAAGATTGAGGAAAACCACTTAGGGGGCTGTTATGTGAGTCTAGGTTAAGAGGTAACAGGGCCCTAAACTGGAGCGGTGGCAATGGAAACAAGGAAGGAAAAACAAGGATGTCTTGCACGATTGATCTGTTTAATAATCCTGTACAAATAGAGCAGGTTCCTGTGGTAACTGCCTCTTGAGAGTGAGTGTTTCTTTAAATTTTGCAGCCTAGGTACCTCATTTACCTTACCCTACCTAATCCCAGCCCTGAGACAGAGGTGGGGTTATCCCCATTTTCTGAAAGAAAATCAAACCCAAGAAAATGGAATCATCTGATCAAAAAGTATTCCTGGGCTCCCACCAAGTGCTGAATGTTGGACACTAAATAACAAATAAGACATTATCCTTGATCACGGGAGTATACAGCTTCCTGGGGGGAGATAGGCAACTACAATCCAGTGCTCTGATGGGGTCCTGACGAGCCCTGGGTCTGGAGTCCGATCACTTGGGTTGGAACCATAGTTCCCCCACTTTCAAGTAACCGTGGCCAAAGGGATAATAATAACACTTACTTCATAGTTACTACATATAAAATGCCTAGAACAGTGCTTGGCACACAGGAAGTGGTATCTAAGCATGTCTTGTTGAAGAAAATCAAAATATGTCACCTCCAAAAGATGGCTCTTTGACATAACAATAATTTTGACCTAAAGGGAGTATAAAAGCAGCAAAGTGGAGGTGGGCTGGGTGGAGGGGGACAAAGGGCGAAAATTGGGACAACTGGAATAGCATACACAATAAGATATTTAAATAAAATAAAGAAAAATATAGTAAAAATGTCAAAAAAAAAAAAAAACCACCCCAAACCAGCAAACCCAGAAGAAGCTCTCTCTACCCTCCCCTTTTCTTTCTAAAGGCTGAATATAAATTTTCCTTAACTGGACAGACTCTAGACTCTCATCAGCCCAGAGGGACCTGCAAACACACCTTGCTGCACTAGTTTTCTTCCATGCATTTACCGTGTCATTGTTTGATGCACCTTGGAAGCATAAACCACTTTCCTGTTGTTCGTTTCTCTACAGATTTCCTGTTCTTCATTAAAGAGGACATGTAAACTGGAGTGCTAAGCCACCTCTTTGAGTTCCTCTTCTCTGAGTGTTCCTACTGGACGTGCAATGCACATGTTAATACACTTGCTTGTTTTTCTCTTGTTAATTTGTCTTTTGTCATAGGGACCCCAGCCAAGAACTCAGAAGGGTAGAGAGATTTTTTTCCCTCCCATATATTATCATAGTGATGATGATGCAGTATAGGTCGAACGGAAGCAGAAGGTGCATTTATATCTACTTTGAAGTAGAAAATAGGGTGGAAAGGCTTCTTGGAAGAGGTTTAATCTGAATTGAACACTCAAAGTTACCTAACTCAAGAGGTCAATATCCCCATATGCAAAACAAAAATGTCTATTTATCTTACAAGGTCATTATAAGAATTGACTGAATATACAAATGGACAATGTCAGACTAGGCATTAAAATAGAAATCTGACCCACAACCTGCAGCAACCTTCCCAGGAAGCCAATTCATTATTTGGAATAACCAGCCCAGGAAGCCAGCCTGCCATAAGTCAGACTTGTAAGAAGTCGGATGGCTAGCTCTAGTGACAGTCCAGGAGGCCGAACAATAACCTCTATAATAATAGGCCCAGTATGGTCAGGACTTGACTAATAGCTGACACCTTCCCTAATTTTTGTTCCTACTTCCAACTTAGGACAAGTTGGAGAAAGTCTAACACGCACTCCTAACCACCACATGTCCAACCCACACACTGCGTGGTCTCCGAAGCCAGTCTCCAGCTTCCCCGTGCCCGCAGCCTTGCATCAGGGCCCACCTGAAGCCTTCCTTTCCCCCACCTAGAGCTTTCCCACTCCCCGACCTGCATTTTGAGTTTCTGCCAAAACACAAGTAACCAGGCTGACTCCCTTGTTACAGCAAGTTCTGAATAAATAGCTTCTCTTTGTTCTCATGCGGTTGGTCTTTGCTTCCACTGAATTTCATTTGATAAGGTACTGTGCAAAAAATGTTTAGTACAAAGTATAACTATTAAGCCAAGGACTTTCTGAATCATTTAAGGAAATGTTAAAGGAAACAAAGCCCTGAGGCCTTCAAGCCTTGAGCTATTTTTATCCCGGAGATTCTGGTTTCTAAAGTGGTCCGCAGTTTCAAAAGTGGCTGGTCAGAGCTGAAAACTAGCCCCCAACCCAAACCGTTGTGGGCTTCAGTGTATTATAGAAACAGGACCAGTGGTTTTCTACTTACTGTTTTATATTCTGAAGGTTGACCAAATCGACTGTTTGTAGAGGCTGCAAGAAGAAAACAAGACATTTTAAAATATGTGATTAAGGTCAATTCTTGCTCACAAAGGGCTTTTAAAATCAGCCCGTCATTTTTCCAGGCCATCCCTTCTCCTTTCCCTGGAATGCCTAACTTCTTTGAACCACCCCTCTGATCCCCACACCCACCTCCAAAGGATACTCAGCCGTTTTTTTGGCAGTTCTCCTAGCACGCACACAGAAAGAACATTTGGTATGGGCTCCATAATTGACCGCCCCAAAAGGTTTGTTCAAGAAAGGACTATGAAAAAAAAAAGAAAGAAAGAAAGGACTATGGAGCTATACAATAATAATCAGAGTAGTAACTCTGATAATTCACCATATTCTTTTCCTCTGCAGCTCAGGGTAATAAATGCAAAACTTCAGGCATTACTACTTTAACTCCATTTTTAAAAGGTGTGAAGTCTGGCAGGACTGAAGCCCCTTTCTCAAACGCCCCTGAGTTCCTGATGCACTTGGCATTCACTATTCCTAATTCCCATACACCAGGGTCTCTGTACTATAAAAAACCCTACTCCGTATCTTGGGCTCCAGAAAAGGGCTCCAGAAAATCTGCTTTAAGGGAGAAAGAGCAAACAGTAGGCTGTCACTAAGAACTAGCTGCGAGTGAGGCCCAAGCAAGAACTAGAGGGTCCCTGGCTCCTCAGCTATCCCCATACTCCGACGTTCCTGTACCAGGAACTGCCAGTAAACAGCACGAGGAGGGACGCCAGGGACGCGGGATCCGGATGGTCACCAGCGAGACTCCCACTCATTACTCCTCCAGGGCTGCTGGGCCGACCAGGCTGGCGAGTGAGCGTTACCTGTCAAGTCCCCGGCCAGGAACAACAGCAGCAAACTCACTCCCAAGAGAGCCATCCTCCCTCCATGGCCGGCCATGGGTGACCGAGTGCTCGGGTGCCCACGAGACACTGGTCGTGCACCGGTCAGGCAGGCTGGGGTGAGGGAGGGGCGGGAAAGGGGCGGGCTAGGAGAGGTGTTAAGAAAGGGTAAGGCAGGAAGGGGAGGGGCAGGGACGGATGGGTAGAGCAGGGAGCAGGGGAGAAAGGGTGGAAAGGAAAGCAGATGTTGCACCCACCTTAGGCCCCTACTATTCCCCTGCCCCACCCCTACGAGGATGGGAGTAAATGATTAAGAGGAGGGTCTCCTCCTGCAGCAAACAAGGACCAAGTAAGAGCGGCGGGAAACAACCCTGTGGGCTCTGTGGGTCCACCCCTACTTCTTCAGAATTTACTCTGTCCCAGACAGTGTTTGGGGGCTGAACTCAGCAAAAGAATCCCTGCTTTCAAGAAGTTTCTAGTTGTAGGGGTTGGGGAGGCGGTGACACAGGGAACTCCAAAACAACTGAATAAATACAACACTTTCTAAAATTAAGTGTTAGAAAACGGGTGGGGGAGGGAAGAATTACCATTGCGAATTCAGGGGGAAAATAGGCCTTTTAGAGGTGACATTTGAGCTCAAAGCTGAGGCACGAGAAGAAGGAAGCTTGGTGAAGGCCTTGGGACGAGTATTCCAGGCTCAAAGAAAAGGGAGTGCAGAGATCCAGAGGCAGGAGTCGGCCCAGTGTGTCAGCTGGAGCCCTGCCTGGAGGAGAGGGAAAGGGATGGGAGAGGGCACTGCAGGGCCCAGAGCACGTGTGGCTGGGTGGGCTGTGATAAGGGGTTTGGGTTTTTTTCTGGTTGCAGTGATAAGCCAGTGGAGGAGTTTTAGCCAGGCAATGCCTCTGATCTGAATTACATTTTAATAGATTGGATGAAGAATGGATAGGAGAGAGATTTATCAGAGAGACAAATTTGGTGGCTTTTGCAGTGATCCAGGCAAGATGAGGACTTGCACAGAGGGTAGCTATTCTGTTTGTAAGCAACTGGGCATACGCTCCAAACTGGGGTCACATTGGCTGTTGTGTTGTCACAGAGCCAAACATCTCCAGCCTATAGGCAGTGACATTGTCTATTTCTCTGACTTCTGTGTCCCTAGTGCCTAGCACACACTCCATAAATGCTGGCTGAATAAGTGACTCTTTAAAATGTTAAACTGACATCACAAGAAGAAAGTAGATCAAATGAGGAAGACATGGGACCCAGGAAGCAGGCGGTGGTACAGCAGTCCTACAGCTGGGCCCGTCCAGACTGGAGCAAGCAACAGGCCCAGGAGAACATTTCTAAAGGGTGACACAGACGGAATAGGAAACGTGTCTTACAGTGACTGGGATGAGATTTACACCAAGGGAGTAAGTTCGGGGATTGATTAGTAACAGTACAAAGAAAACTAAGTAAGCTGGAGGTGTCTGCACTGACAAATGGAAGTGCAGATGATGGTCTGAGACTTCATGGCCAGGCTGGGAACCGAGGAGATGGCAGAGTCCGACCCCAGGCCCAGGCAGGGTCTCGCCTGAGTGGTGCAGACATGCCTGCAACAGATGCAAGGTAAATTTTAGACTATGTCCAACCGGTCATCGGAAGAATTGATGACATGAGTAGTCGCACTGATGACCTGGAGAAAACCATTGCAGACCTCATCACGCAGGCTGGGAAACACCTAGAAGGGGGAAATAAGACACCTGCTACATGGAAAGAGCTGAAGGTCGCTAATTTACACTGAAATCAGGGACATTGTTTTTACAAGCCAAGAGAAGACCACATGGCTTTTTGCATCTAACTACTATTGACAGGCAGGTTTTATATTATAAAGTGTGCATTCTTCTCATCCCATACTATATAGTTAGTTTATAGAGTGATTTTTCCCACCAGTTTCTTCCACGTGGTAACTTTACAACTTGGATATTGGCCAGTTGTGTTATTAAATATTAAACACTAAAATTTTAATGGGTCCTGCATAAGATTGTCAAATTTTTTAGTATATTTTTGTGAAGTCATTTTTTTCTATCATTCCCTTTCTATGTAGTAGTTGCTGTTGGATAAACTTCGCTGTGTAATTCTTTTACTTTTAGAGATACAGTAGATCCTTTCATTATAATTACACTTATAGTGTTTAGGGTTCTTTAATTCTCCACACAGAGTGATGAGCTAACACCAAATAGTGTGTTAGTGATATTCTTCAAATAGTTAAAAACATTTAAAAATTGTTTGTGCACAAGGTAAATAAGTTTATTAAAAACACAGAAACACAAAAGGCACACACACACCCAAATTGCTCATTCAGAAAATACTTGGCACGACTATGTAGCTAAAACTCAGACTTGAATGGTGATTTTATGTCTAAGTCTCTGAGATCAGATGCTAAAATAATGAAGAGCGACCACTGCCACTTTAGGATGAGATTTTTTATTTTTATTTTTTTAATATATTTTATTGATTATGCCATTGCAGTTGTCCCATTCCCCCCCTTCATTTCCCTGCACCCTGCACACCCCCTCCCACCCACATCCCCCTGCTTTAGTTCATGTCCATGTGTCATAAATTCTTTAGCTTCTACATTTCCCACACTACTCTTGCCCTCCCCCTGTCTATTTTCTATGTACCGTCTATGCTACTTATTCTCTGTACCTTTCCCCCTCTCTCCTTCTCCCACTCCCCTGTTGCTAACCCTCCACGTGATCTCTATTTCTATGGTTCTGAGCCTAATCTAGCTGTCTGCTTAGTTTGCTTTTGTTTTAGGTGTGGTTGTTAATAACTGTGAGTTTGCTGTCCTTTCACTGTTCATACTTTTATCTTCTTTTTCTTAGATAAGTCCCTTTAACATTTCATATAATAAGGGCTTGGTGATGATGAACTCCTTGAATTTGACCTCATCTGAGAAGCACTTTATCTGTCTTTCCATTCTAAATGAAAGCTTTGCTGGATAGAGCAATCTTGAATGTAGGTCCTTGCCTTTCATGACTTGGAATACTTCTTTCCAGCCCCCTCTTACCTGTAAGGTCTCTTTTGAGAAATCCGCTGACAATCTGATGGGAACTCCTTTGTAGGTGACTGTCCCCTTAACTCTTGCTGCTTCTAGAATTCTCTCCTTCATTTTAATCTTTGGTAATGTAATAATGTGCCTTGGTGTATTCCTCCTTGGGTCCAACTTCTTTGGGACTCTCTGGGCTTCCTGGACTTGTTGGAAGTCTATTGCCTTTGCCAGATTGAGGAAGTTCTCCTTTATTATTCATTCAAAATAATAACTTTTCCATTTGTTGCTGTTCCTCTTCCCCTTCTGGTACCCCTATGATTCAGATGTTGGAACTTTTAAAGATGTCCTGGAGGTTCCTAAGCCTCTCCTCACTTTTTTGAATTCTTGTTTCTTCATTCCTTTCTGTTTGGTTGTTTCTTTCTTCCTTCTGGTCCACTCCATTGATTTGAGTCCAATTTTGTTTCCATCACTATTGGTTCCCTCTGCATTTTGCCTCATTTCACATAGTGCACCCTTCATTTTTTCATCTAATTTGCAACCAAAATCAACCATTTCTGTGAGCATCCTGATCACCAGTGTTTTGAACTATGCATCTGATAGGTTGGCTATCTCTTGGTCGCTTAAAAGTATTGGCTCTGGGGCTTTGATTTGTTCTTTCATTTGAGCCTTTTTTTTTTTTTTTGGTCTGGTCACACCTGTTACGTATCAGGGGTAGAGCCTAAGGTGTTCACCAGGGCGGGGCGACGCACTTGCTGGGTTGTGCCTCTGAATGTGGGGGCGGGGTCAGAGAGGGGCCATGGCACTTGTTCCTCGCTCTCTCTCGGATTCTGGTCTCTTCTGCCGCTTCCCACAAGCAAATTGGGTTCTTCTAGTGCTGGTTCCCAGGTGAGTGGGCTTGTGTGCATTCTAGGACCCTGTGGGTCTCTCCCACAAACTCTCCTGTGAGGCTGGGAGTCACTCCTAGCACCTCAACCCCCGCAAATTTTTTCAGTCGGTGCTTTTAGGCTTTAATTCCCATCACTGAGGCCCTGGGTTGTGCAGTCTGTCTCACTGCCTGTTTTTTGCCTGGTTCATCTGCGTGAGAATGTGTTTCCAGGGCCAGCCAGCCACCTTTCGAGCCTCACCGGGTTTGCTCGTTTCTTCTCTGCACCCGGGTCTGCCAACCACTGCTTTCTCCTGCTGAAACCCCTCTCCCATGGCTGCTGACTCCGGCCCTCTTACTGGTCTGGATCAAAGGTTCGTTGTTGCCGGACTTCAGTACAGTTCAATTTTCCGTCTGTTCTGGTTGTGTTTTTTGTTTCTAAATCTTTGTTGTCCTTAAATTTGGTTGTGCAAGGAGGTACAGTATTTCCGCCTACACCTCCATTTTGGCCGGAATTCCTCTCTAGTGTGAGATTTTTTAAATATGGAAAATGACCGAATTGTCTAATGCGATAAGGTGTGCATCTGAGTTTTGCATGAGATTTGAATAACTTCAGTAGGACCCTACATTGTTCATCTAAAATAGTTATCATAGAAAGTCTGGCTGGATTTTAAAACAATTATTCCATCTTTTCTTTGAGTTACTGATTGGAAACAGAAACAGAAAAGGAAAAGAGACCATATTAAGCCCATGCCAGCCACTTTGCTAGAAAATAGTAAACAACTTATAGTAGGCTCAAGTTTTTTAAAACTACTTCTTACCTAAATTCTTGCAGACTAGCGGTTTTATTATTGATTATAGCAAACAAGGACAATAACTCTTGCCACTCAGAAATGGAGTGTCAGGAGTGCTAACTATTGGCTGGGAAGGAGAGCCACACGATTATCACAGCAAAGAGATTTTGTATCAAAGAAGTGAAAAAGTTAAGGAGTGGTATTGTGCTTCACAGAGGAAAACCCTGAATAAACACAGTATGATTTTTTGAAGTTTTTTATTCACCAGTCTTGATTATTTGTATTGCCAATATAGAATAATATTAAGGGGAAAAAGAAAACTAAGAAAAATGAAAAAGACAGTTATTGGCTTCAGGAAAAACAAAGTTGTTCACCAATGCAAATATTAATCACTGGTCTAACCAAAATTATGATGAACTATTTGGG